GTAGATGCCAGACTGGCTACGCGCGTTACTCTACGTGCATAGTACTGATGTAATATTTTTTCGTGCAGACAATTGCACGCCACACCCTCACTCTTGAGAATTTATAATTTTATATATAGATAGAAAATTTTAATAATTTTTTTATGTTGTTTAGACAATTTAGTAAAATTACTCTCTTGATATATTTTTTAAATCCAATATTTTAAAAAATTAGACATTTGGTGATTTTTTCCATCATAAAAAATAACGCTCACTCAGCACCACACTTAAACATGTTTAATATTAAAATTAATTTACTAATAAGTATTGATTAATTAATCAATAACAAGTTAATTAAGTTAATGATATGTAAGATTTATTTTGATTAAACAACCATTTGCAAGCTTAATTAGATTTATGAAACTTAATAAAAAAATTATTTTAATATAATTATATTCTGTAATTTATAAACTTAATAAATAACTAATTGAATGTTAAGTCAATAATATCATAATACTAGTTACTAACTAATCGGTTTAATTAAATTATAATTGGTGATTGATTATCTTTGTAATTGATAATTTATTAAATAATGTTTATTAATTATATTAATTAAAGTTTTGTGTTTGGTTAATTATAATTGTACTAATTAAAAAATAGAAAATAATTAATTATTCATAAGATATTATAATTATTAATTAATTAACTTAATATAAATATTAATTAATGATAACTATAGTTGGACGTGATCAGAAAATTTTATCATTTGCCATGAATCTTGAAACATGACACTTAGGGCCCGTTTGGGGGCGCGTTTGGGAAGCGGCGGCGTTTTGAAAACGCCGCCCTTCCGTTTGGAAATTCCGTTCGCATGACAAGTTTTTAAAACGCGTCGTTTTAATACCGCTATTTCCTTAAGGACGGGGTAATCCGGTTAGGGGCGCCGTTCCGCGTATGCTTCTCGCGTTTAGGTTGTTTTTCCCGTGTTGTCCTTCCCGTTTCTCCCCCTTGCCCTCGCCCTTCCCGTCTCGCCTTCGGTTTCGAGCTTGCCTGAAGCTGTGATCCGTGATATGAGGTATTTTTTTTTCGACCCCTCACTCTTGCCCTACCCGATATCCGTCTCCTTCCTTCCCGGAGGCCGTGTTCGATCTCTGTCACAGTTATTTCTGTTCATATGGTGGTTATAAAAGAATCAGTACAAATTCTTGAGCTTTGTTATTCTTATGGCTTATTTTTTCATTTGTTTGGGTCGGTTTTGGTCCCTACAGTGCTGGATTTCGGTTTTGGTTAAGATTTCATTCGATCAGGGAGCTCTGTTTGATCCTTTTTCTAACCATCTAAGCAAAACCTTGAATGGTTATAGAATTAGGGATTTCGGTTTTGGTTAAAAGCTTTGATTATAATATATAATAAAATAATAATAATAATAATAATAATAATAATAATAATCATATATTAATATACTACATTAGTAATATACTAATATATATATTATATATTTACATAATATAATTTATATAATTAACATAATATATTATTTATAAATGTTAATATTAGGGATGTCAAACTGGCTCGTCGTTCACTAACAGCTCGTGTTCGGCTCGTTCGTTAAAAAACGAAAATGAATAGTGACTTCAAAAACAATTTTGAACACGAGCTTATTTAAAAAAAAAAACTAAATTTCAAACGAACCGAATACGAACACAAGCTCTGTTTGTTCGTGTTTGATTCGTTTACACCCCTAACATTAGGTTATAAATGGGCAAAATACATGATAAAATGTCATTGAGATGAATGAAACATGATGGGTTAATTAGAATTTCAATTAAATCACTAAAATGAGTAAATGATATAAATGTAATTTCAAAATTGACATTAATTGGAGCTTATGGAGAGATTTGAAGACCTATTGGTGAAAAATATTGTTTGGAGTTGCTTAAATTACTAATTAAAACCTCTCACTATAAATTTGATTGAATTACATTACAATTTACATTAAAACGAATCAAATTAGTAAAATTATAAATTTACCTTAAGTTAACATTAAAATAAAAGGCAATTAAATAAAATTATTGAAGTCTAAGAATTGACTTAAATCAGATAAGTGAAGAGTAAATTAATAGATATATAGTGAATTTTGATAGCTTTGAAAGCAATTTAGGATAGTTTTGTTATTTACATAGAAATTACAAAATTACTTTTATTACATTAGAAACTTCAAAATGAACTATATATGATTCAAAATCATTAAAAATTAAAATGAAACTCTTAAACAAAACATAAATAACAAAACATGCAAAAATTTATAAATGTAAAGTTTGTTTTGAGGTAGATTTGTATGTTTATTTGAATTTATAAAAGTACCCCAATTGCCTTTTCAGTCATTAAATGAAAGAAATAGAAGTAATGGGATCCAAATAATTGAATCAATTTGTTAACCAGGTAAAGATAATCCTAGATAAATCTTCTGAATCAATTACAAAATCAAACTATATTATTAAGAAACTTAGAAAATTAAATGGAGAAGTTAGCCTAAAAAGCACTAAACCTCAAAGGATGTCAAGGGTAACAGATAGCCATGATTTGGAATCCAAAGTGTTGGTCACTGAAGAGCAAGCTGAGTTGGATGATTTTTATTGGATAATGAATAAGGAAGAACTTGCACTCTTTTCCAAGCAATCTCTAGCATTGTTAGGGAGGTAGTTGAGTTTATAGGACCACTCATAGGAGTATCCTAAGGGAAGGAGTTTGAAGATAGTTGTAGGCAGGAGATTAACCCAATAGAGTTAGTTCCCAAACCTAAGAAACCTTGGGAGAACCAAACCAAAATTTAGGAAACCCTGATTTAACTCCTTAGGATCCACTTCTTGCAAATTGTGAGGAAAACACTGGTCTGCAAACAGAGGAATAAAGAAGGAGAATTTTGGATTTAGAAAATATTCTTATGAACGATGAAGGAGAATTTTGGATTTAGAAAATATTCTTATGAACGATGAAGGAGAATTTTGGATTTAGAAAATATTCTTATGAACGATGATCTGAATAAATCTACTACATCACCTCTAGAAGAGTGCTATCGAGCCAAGAGAAAAAAGTTACCAGAAAAACTAAAATTTGAGGATTTAATAAAAACTCTAGGACCTATAAAAGATTAGATGATAGATTGGGGATTACTAAATTATAATTTTAATAATGAAAGAAGACTTTTATGTCAGTCTGAGGATGTTAAACTAAACGTTAACTTGGGAAGCTACCCAAATATTATTTAATGTTTCGAGCATGTTTTTACTTTTTTGCATTTGTTTAGAAATGTTTTTTTTTTTTTTTGAAATTTTCTTTGAATTTTCAT